CCAATCTCTTTCCTGGATTTTCTGGGGTTTCCTGCCCTTTTCCCAGGTTTCTCTCCTCACCTTTATAGTCACCTCTTTGCTCCTACTGTGCATGCCTCCTGGTAAAAGGACTCCCCCTGGGCCAGGTTGGCTCCTACTGCACGTGACTCAGCAGAGGAATTTCCCCCTCACTGCTCATCCCTCCCCTCATTAATCTGGGGGAAAGAGCCCTTGTTCCCTGGGGAGATTGGCAAAATCTTTCCTGCCTACTCAGGGACTAGAGTCTATTTGGCAGAGGGAGTGGCTCTTCCCTGGAGTGTCGGTGAAGCTGCCCCCTCCTAGTTAACCTGCTTAATTAGATGTCTGGCTCCTTTCTTTTTTATTAATATCTAACTAGCTGCCTACTGTAACAACCCTGTGATGTACATTTTGAAGGGCAATTTTTTGCGGCACAGAATAATCATACACCGCAGTGCACACTAACCTGGTCTGCAGCAATTAGAGATGGGAGCACTTAGCCGAGACATCCTGCCGCCACAGAGCCACCAGGAATGGCAGCAAGCAGTGACAGTCCTGAAGAATGGCATAACTCGAAAAGCAGAAAACAAACAAGAAGGACTGCAGGTGCCTCATCATGTTCGGTGATTCACACTCCTGTATACTTGGCAATATGTTAAGGACCACCAAGTGTTCAATTTTCAGTATATTTCATCTCTCAGAGAGTGAAAGCCATATTGACACATCTGTTATAAGTCCTGAAAATGTTTGCAGTTTTAAAAAGAAGAGAAATATTTAGGAACACAACTTTATTATATTTTAGCTAAATATATTTGTAATTAGGCATCTATATGTTGCCTATTTCCCATGAAAGTGAAAATTTAGCTGATGTGGGAACTTGGTCTCCCATTAAGTACAACAATGCTTGATAAAATATAACTTTTAAAATATGCCTATGTCGCTGAGCCTAAAAGAAAGATCAACTTCTGAGTGCCAGAGATGAAGTGGGAGCTCCAAGTGAGAGTGTTAAGAAGCTAAAGCTCTGATGGAACATAAGCACTTCAGAACCTAAGTGCTGGGAGCCAGGAGTTTAGATTTTAACTTTCACTATGTAATAAGTCTAAGACCTGTGCAAGAATACTTTTTGTGCATACAGGAGCCTAGAAGGCCACATTGGACATAAAACATGAAACAGAAAAAAGATAAACCCATCTGTTATCTTTACCCTCTATTCTTGGGTAGTAAAATAGATGTCCATAAGAAAATAGGCCCCAAAACTGTAAAATTTAAGATGTGGTTGTATGTCACCCTTGAGGTTTAGAAATATCAGGGCGATAAAATAAAATGGAAACAGGTCCAGAGCCAGTAAAATTCCTAGGGCCCCAACCAGGGTCAGTTTGAAATGTATTGTAGAGATAGTTTCTTAACTCAGGGATTTTAAGACACCTACAGAAATCATCACAAGTTACCCTGACTAAATATGAGCTTAAAAAAAACAGACATAAAATGACAAAAGATTATCATGGAGGAGAGGCATGAGAGAGAGCCAGCAGATACAAGAAATAGGAGATTTAGCAATGAGGGACTATAGAAAAATCTGGAAAGAATTTATAAATGTATTAAAAATATGAAAGTAGTTAACAGGAGTTATAGTTACCATAAAAACATATTTGAAAAAGAACCAACTAGGACTTCTGCAAGTTAAAAATAAATTTATTAAATAAAAGTTCAATTGCAACGTTAAACCTACTAGGATACAGTTGAAAAAAAAAATCAATTAGCTCTCAGTCTTCTATGTGGAAACCATCCAGAAGGCAGCATAACAAGATAAAAATGCGACAGGGAATTTTATAGAAATGGAAGGTGGATTGAGAAGATTCAACATATATTTAATGAAAGCTGCGTAAGATGAGATTGGATGTAACTGGAGAAAGGCAACATTTGAAGAGATATTCAGGGAGAATTTGCCAGAACTAAAGAAAGATATGCACACTCAGAATGAAGGAATACACCAAGTCCCAAAAAAGGATACATAAAAAGAAATTCACCTTCAGACACATCATAGTGAAATTGCAGAATGTCAGGGAGAAAAATCTTAAAGGCTAACCAAATGTGAAGACAGCTGATCCGCCAAGTCGTGACATTTAGACTGACAGCTGTAACAGAAGCGCAGCCAGTGGAACGTACCATCAGGATGCTGCAGGGCGATGCCTATTACCCCAGAATTTTATTTCCACTGGAACTCTCATTCAAGAATGAGAACAGAATAAAAATACTTTCAGACAAAATCCAAGACAGTAAGGTCTGAAAAAACTACCAAAGCATGTATTTCAGTAAGAAAGAAACTAAATTCAGACAAAAGGAGTGAAATACAGAAACCAAGGGTGAGGAAGTAATATTGGCCTTCTCTCTAATTTAGAGCCACTTTAAAAACCAAATCATTTTCTTTCACAAATTATGAAAACTTTGGTTTTGTTTTTTATAAAGATACCTAAAGAAAAATCTGGTTTTTGTTTCAATTTGCAGTAAATAAATATAAATATCCAACAAGCCTGGTATTATTAAGTAAAATCTGGAGTATGCAGAGAGTGAAATATAATGTGACCTTAAAGAATCTTGTGATAGTGCTTATGCTAAGATGTCCAGGGAAAGTACCACATAAAACATCATATTCACTATTATGTGTGCTGAATAAAAACACACAGGAAAAGTATTGTAAGACAATGTACCAAAAATGCTGAAAGTCATTTTTGGTGGCAGAATAATATTTTTTCTTTAATTTTATACTTTTTCAAAATCTTACAATGGACATATATTACTTTAATGATAAAAGAACTTCAAAATACTTAGCAACATAGATATATTATTTTACTAAATTATGAATTTTGCTAAATAAACACCGTGTCTATATTTTGCAGGCAAACCTCTCCTCACCATCCTCTACAGTATCGGAGAGTCAGCTGGTACGTATCCTCTTACTAAGTCATAGACCTGCTTTAGAAAATTCTGATCCCTCAAGACAACTTTATCTGAGCTAAAGTGGACTGAGAATAAATTTACTACATATAAGTTAATTAGCTCCCTTTTCTAATAAGAGTTTATTGATGCTTTACTAACGCTCCATGGCAGTTGTTTTGCAGGCTATAAAGATACACAAACCCACACACACACCCTATTTGCCAGTAACTTGCATTTGAGTAGTGGAGCCAGAATAGAATTGGTGGGGTCAGAAACAAGGTGTTGGAATTTGGAGAAGGAGAGAGCTCACCTCTTGATGGGAGATATCAGAAGAGGGTTCAAGGAAAAGGTCATGTTAAATAATGTAGGGTAGGTTCAGGTTCTGGACTTGGAGAAAATGGGAAACAAGGTATTTCAGACAGAAAGGTTAGCATGAGAATGGTCTAGACCAGTGATGAGCAATAGAAATATAATGAGAATCATAAATGTAAGCCACATATGTAATTTAAAATTTGTTAGTAGCCATATTAAAAAGTAAAAAGAAACAGGTCACATTCAATATTACATTACTATATGTTCAATTATATCATATATTATTATGGATTATATATAATATTCTATAACAATGTATTATATATTATATTCAACAATATGTTTTACTTAATGCTGTATAAACATTTCAACATATAATCTATAAAATTGAGATATTTTTTGGACACAGATATTTTTTGGACATTACTTTTTTTGGACACTGTCTTTGAAACCTACTGTGTATTTTGCATTTGCAGTTCATCTCAATTCAGACGAGCCATGTTTCAATGTTTCAACACAAGGATAGTGACTACTGCTCTGGGGAGCACAGATTGAAACTGTAAAATCTGTTATTTATAGATAAAAATTTGATTAAACAGGAGAATTACATTTTCTTAGCAAATTAAAACCATGCAATAAGTTGTCTATTACTAGTTAAGTATTTTCTTTATAGTTTTAATTTTTATTGTTTATAACTGTAAATTCCTGAACACCTTCAGGAAAATTAATGAAAATTTCTGGTAAAGCAGTTTGAGACATTAAGAAGACAAATCACTGCTTAATACTGATTTTTCCTCCCTTTAAAGCAGTTGTTTTAGTGTCCTGCATCCATGGCTAACAAGTCATCTGTCATTATCACGCCACAATGACAACAATATTTTTATTTTGTCCGAAAAATCATAAAAGGGTATTTTAACTCTTAAAATGTCCTGACTCAATCAAACTGCTTGGGTATGTTGGTCTTCATACATATAGTGTATATATATATGGATTGTGTGGTCTTCATACATATAGTGTGAATCATACATATATATGAATCCATACATATATATGGATTGTGTTTGTGTGTCTGTGTGTGTATAATTTTAATGGCAATCAGTTTAGAGCAGTGGCAGGCAGAATAATATAGTTGAAAGAATGCTGGAGTGGAGTCCAAAAGACCCACCTTCTAGCTCCTGCTCAGACACTAACTACTGGGCTGACAGTAGGTAAGTGATGAACCTGAGTGTGAGCCCCAAACTCCTAACTGAACAACGAGAGCATTCTATTGCATACTTCCCAGGCCTTTCCAGTGCTGTGAGTCTATTGTTACTAACACGGTGAAGTGAGGAAGTTGCCATGGAAACAAGCACTGCAATAACATAATGCAGATGAACAGTTTCCCACTTTAGATATGGAAATATTACCACAACTTTTTTAATATTTCAAATAATAATACCTGTATTTCTTGTGAGTAATGTAGAAAATCAAGAATATTTTTAATATCCTCATATATAATTATATTCAATAGAGTAAGAAATATAGATTTTAGATATTGAATGATTAAATATATATTTAGTTATATAAAAATATTTATTTTTGGGGTTTATATATATTATCACCAACATATATATGACAGTTCTTGGCTTAATAGTTTAAGAAACAATTTCAAAAAGGGGCAAATATACATAATGACTTCATAAAATGGGACATAGTAAAAACAAGTCATTCATTGTAAATATAATATATAAGCCCCTTTCTGCATAATAAAATAATTCTGTAAATTCTATGTTGTGTTCTCTAGGGGGAAAAACACAAAGCATTGCTTTGACTGACTTTAATGATAATATTTTTGCATTTACTTCAGACTTTTTCTCTAAAGAGTTCATGGAATTTCTTAACCAAGTTTTAAATTAAATTTTAATACCAAAATGCTCTTGAGATATAGGTAGGTTTGTAAAGGGATTATTATCAAGTAAGCTTATCATGTAAAAAAAGAACATCTCCAGCATTGATCTAATTATTCAGTTCAATCACTTTGACTTCATTTCATAACATTAACCCTGTATTTACATTACCTGGGAATAAAATAGATTAGAAATAATTGCATGCAGGGATGTTATCTGACATTTGATTTTTAAGGTCTTATAATATTTTTAGTTTTAAGTCATATAATTTATGAATGAAATTATAATTTTTTCACTTTTATGAATGAATTTCCAATATTTACCATCATGAATTCTCTTCAGGGTTAAGTTCTGAATAATTTAAATAAATAAGAATGCTTTTGAAAAACAAAACTATATATATGATGCCCTATGACAATATGACAGATAATTCTGGCAATACATACTGCTTTTTGTTTATATATGTGTATACTTGTATGTGTAGCACAGAAAAACAAAATTACTGGGAACATGTGATAGATTATAATTAAATTAAAAAAGTAAATGTATGCTTTATATAAAATAACTAGTTAAAATTATTTGACTTCTATTTTAGGTGAGAAATGTAATAAACTGGTTGAAATGAAAATATGTGGTAGCAAAAACTTAATACAGAAGCCATTTTGCTTTTGAGGATTGGCTTTTTAAGGATATATCACTTTTTCACAACTTTTTTCTTTTGAACTTGGCTTACATACTTGCTTCTTTATATTGTCACTGTGCCAATTCAACATTGGAAGGAAAAAAAATATGACCTGAAACTTACTCCTAAAATATATTTTTATTCTTTACTCTGGTAGCAAATTATTTTGTAGTGAGCTCAGGGAGAATAGTTTGGGGGCCCTAATGAAACGAATTCATCAATCTGTGCCTCAGTTTTTCCTTTTGCTATTAAACAATATCACAGTACATCAAAACTGAAAAGGAACTTAGAGATGAAGGTTTTGGAAATGCCCATCTAGAAAATGGAGGTTGGTGTGCCTGCTCTGTCACCCCGAAGGGGTTACTGGAAGGCTCACCTAGCATAATGTGATGTTGCCAATGTTGCTTGTACATACGGAAGGTGTTATTATTGTTCACAAAATGCCTAAAATATTATCTCTGAGATAATATGATCGATCATTTTTACAGATAAAAACAGGCTCAAAGTGTTTAAATAGATTATCTAAGATCGCAGTGTTAGTGATCATGCCCGTTCTGTGTGACTTTCAAAAGGAATTGTTACAGATTTTAGATAATTTGAGGGGAATAAGAAAAGTTTGATGAAGAAGTGGGGAAACTGGGCCTCTATGAAAGTGTGACATTCATTGGACATCTGTGTCGAGCTGGCGTTTTAGCAAAGATGTGATCACTTACTGAAGAGAAGCCAGGGTGGGGTGCTTCCCAGGAGACCTGTGGATGGTGCTTCCCCTGGCGTGATAAAGGGAGCAAAGGAAAGGAGGGTGGAGGTTGACACTTCACATGCTTTCCTAATTCCTGAGCTGAGTCATCACAATACAGGGTGACCCCCCCAAAATATACACCCACTGTGAATAATTATAAAGGCAGTGTTTATTAAACTACATTTCATTTTCAAAATCGATCTATCAGCTATTAAAGTGTATGCGCATTTTGGGGTACACCTATATGAGCAGAGGCTGGTGGTGTCTCTCCTGTGGATAGTAAAACAGGTTGGGGTCTTCAAGATGGGGAAGCACCAGTCTTCCTTGGAGGTAGGTGGGAGAGTGTGGGTTAAGTGACCTTTGCCTTTTGCTTTTGAAATTTCATGCCAGTATAAAATGTTCATTGTTACCCATGATGGAAAACTGAATCTAGAGAGTACAAAACAGTAGATTTCAAAAATAAGCCACATGACCATATAGAGGTAAAAGCAAATGCAGTTTCCCGGAACACTAAAGAGGGCTTAAACTTGCAGATACTTTGTTCCCGGTTCTGAATGCCAGCTGATGTGCCTTTCTTTAGTGGTGCATGACTCATCCTTCTGAGGGCTCTTGAGTCTCTGTTGTTCAGAAAATGCGGCCCTGAAAGCTTTTGTGTAGAACTGATGTCTTCTTCAACCTTAAAGGCAGTTTGTCCTTGACCACTTTTTCCTTGACACAACACACTTAAATGCTACAGCATTTGTCTTCTACGCCTCCTCAGGTTTGAGTCATGCTATTGTATTTTCTCTAACCATTGAAATATTGCAATCCAGCCAATCTGTGTTGTGTACATTCCACAGAATGTTTCTTGAGCCATGGGATATGGTTTATAATTACTGAACTGTTATGCATATTTATTTTTGTACAACCACCAGAGTAATTATAATTTTTGGGGGAAAACCACATCAAGTAGGTACTCTTATGAATAATCATTTTGTATTAACACTGTATTATAAATGTGAAAATAGAAAAAAGGAAACGTTTTTCCTTTCAAATTCCTTTTATGCTGTTATTTTTTCTGTACAAAGTTATGTCAAGCATATTATCTCATTAGATCCTCACAATCCCTTTTTGAGCCAGTATGGCAGGAATTGTTATTTTCATTATTCTGATGAAAAAAACCTGAAGTACATATGTCTGCAATGCCATGTCAATAGTCCATGGCTAATAGGTAGTACAAATTTTTGTGTGTCTTTTGTGGTTTTTTCCCCAATCTTAAAAACTGTAGTGTTTTGAAATCTGAGGTATTTCTTTGAGAGGGAAGAAAAGATTAAGAATTTGCTTTGAGCATATAATATTGTTTATTTAAACAATAATTAGAGCTAGTAAACATTTATTAATTGAGTAAATGAGCTATATAATTTAGAGAATGATGCTTTTGTCAATAGTCTTGACTGGTAGAATGGTTTCGAGTTTCTATGAGCTTGTTGCCACAGAAACTCTTTTTTTTTTTAATGTTCTTCCCCCCCCCCCCC